CCCCCCCCTCCCTTCGAAGTACTCGATAGCCCTCCCCTTAAGGCGTACAACGACGACTACTCGTATAACGACTACTCGTATAACGACTACTCGTATAACGACTACTCGTATAACGACTACTCGTATAACGACCACTCGTACACGACCACTCGTACGACGCGGTACGGCATATGCTAGTATAGCTAGCATATGGTAGTAGCATGGCATATAGTGGTAGTATAGCTAGTATATAGTGGTAGTATAGCTAGTATATAGTAGTAGCATAGCTAGCATATGGTATAGTATATAGTAGTAGTATAGTATATCGTAGTAGTATTTGTTGTGATAGGGCGTGTTTCGTAGGAGTAGTATAGTTACGAATATAATATGAAATCACGTGATCATTAATTTTAAGCTATATTTAAGTTAGCTTTACCTAGAGTAAACCTAGTACTAGCTAAGCTTAATCTAGGTGAGCCTAGGTTAATCTTTGTTTAGTGCAAAATATAACGTAGGTTCTTAATCCCGAAGTAATACTAGTTAACCCGAGTTAATCTAGGTTAAGCCTACCTTAATCCCTCTTAAGTCTCATTAATCTTATATTTAACCAAGTAGTAAGATTACTTTAACTCTTTATTATATAAGGGTTAAACTCGGTTAAACAGCTAGCGTTTCGGTACTAATATACTTTTTTAATTTATTAACTGTATAAATACTATATTTTATTAGATTTATAGGTTTCATCTTTTTAATTTATTTATCTACTTAAATAAAATCTTTTAATACTTTAAATTAAAGTATTTATAAATAGTTAAACTTCTATTTTATTTTTTATAAAGAAAGTAATATTATCAAAGTCTTAAACTATATTATACTACTACTTAATATTCTAATAAGCTTTAACTAGTATTTACTTAGCTTAGTACTTTATTATTATTAGTAGAAATAAAGTAATATAGTTTTAAAAGTTTTTATAAAATACCTAGCTAAGTTAAATTACTAGAGTATAAAAGGTAAGAAACTTTACTAACTTTCTTATATTTTATAGTAAAAATAAGTTTTCTACTAGTTATAGCTAATTATAGTATCTTTACTACTTTATTTTATAAGATACCTAGTATAAATTTTATTATATTAATTATATATTCTAGAACCTTAACTTAAGTTTCTTTTATATTCTTTTACTTCTTTTAAGATGTTTTAAAAACCATTATGAATAAATCTATTATAATTATTTTTAAATTTGAGTATTTATTCTTATAATAATCCTAGTTAAGGGATTAGTATAAAGTTATCTAAATAGTAGATTACATTCATTCTCTTACTTTAAATATAATTATAATATTTAATAAATTACTTTTGTAAATAATTAAAAATAAAAAAGAAGTTTAAAGTTTAAATATTAAATAGTTCTTTTAATAAAATTAGTTATTTTATTTAAATCTGAATATTTAATAAACCTTATATATAAGTAGAATATTCCTAAATACGTTCATTATATTATACTTTATAATTAGTATACCTTAGTTCTTTTATAGAACTGTTATAATAATTTAGTATATTAATAAATGCTTTTAAGTCTTTTACTTTTATATTAATCCTATTATTAACTAAATCTATAATAGAGAATAATAGATTATAAATCTATTAAAAAGTACTATTTTCTTTTAGTACTAATCTAAATAGTAAGAATATAAATATTTTAAGTAATAGTACTTAAACTTTTAAAAAAAAAAATTTAAGCTTCTTTTTTATATTTACCTTTATAAACTTTTAATTAAGATTTAATAATTTATAATTCTTTAAGATTAACTATTTCTCTTCTCTCTTATATTTAACTAATATATTAAATTAAAAGATTAACTATTTCTCTTCTCTCTTATATTTAACTAATATATTAAATTAAAATATTAATATAATATAAAATCTTAAAGACTTTAGATATTAAGCTAATAATACTATTTATATATTAATTCTAAAGAGTAATAATAAGTTAATTAATAGCTAAGCTAATCTATTATAATATTAAAATAAAAGTAAAATATTAAAATATATAAGTATAGAATAATAAAAGTTACTTTATATAAATATTTAAAGTAATTCCTTTAATTATATATTAGATACTCTTTCTTTTATACTAAACTCTTATTTAGTTTTAGTTTTATTTCTTAGCTTATTTGCTTTCTTATTATTTAAGACTTTATTACTTATACTAGAGCTATTAACTCTATATTCTTTAATTATATATTTCCCTTTATATTTTATATAATTATAATAGTATTTATACTAGGTAGTAGTATAAGTAAAATTATTAAAGTTATAATATAAAGCTAAG